GAGGAATTAGTTCGTACCATTGAATATTTGACGCAATAGACAAGGTGTCGCAGAAACCGATGTTGCTATAACCAAGTTTTACTGTATATATATATTGCCAAAAAAAAAAGCCATGTGCAGTATATACGTATAGTTGTAAAGGTTGTGACATGCAGTTTAGTGGAGGAAGGAGAAACTGACTGGCCAGCCATCAGTCGTAAAATGACTTTGAAACGAAGCAAGAAGTAAAGAGCAATTTGTAGAAACAAAGCGGTGGGATATGTGGAAGACGAAGGCGAATAGTTGTCATAACCATGATGGGCCTTTGGTAAGGCATGGTTTGGAAGATACGTGGTTCGAAGACATGACTATTTTTGTGAGAAGAAAAAAGTTAAATTTGTGCATGTAGGAAGCAAGTCATACTATGTGAGGAAGGAGAAGGTAACAGATTTGTATAAATCTGGAGATACGTGGGTAAGACATTGGCGTAGTATTGGGAAGGTATGGGGTTTGAGACCAAGGCATCTTTTGTCAATAGAAATTGAAAAGTGAATAAATAAATACGATTTTTCTGCAGCTATGAACCAAGTCGTAGAATATGAGGAGGATCGCAGAAAGCAGTAGCATAGATGTTCTGGTGATCTAGACGTAAGGCACCGGCGATGTAAAGAAAATGTCCGAGGTTTAGAACCAACGAAAGTTTTATAAAATACAAATGAAATTAATAAGATTTTTCTGTAATTATGTAGGGAGATGTAACATAAGAGGAAGAAGGGAGGGAAGATTTTTTTCGGCCACTCATGAAAACACTCACCTAAGTGGGTATACTGTTTTATTAAAATCCACAAGAGATTTCAGTATTCATTATATTTCTTTAAGATATGTTATTATTTCCGCCATATTATTCTGCCCAGTACTGAACTGGTGAAGATGAATATATCAGATTTTCGAATATCATTAAATACAGTCTTAAGCTTGTTGACAAGAGTGTATTTCACATTCTTGAATTCCATCATTCTAATGAAAATAATAATAAATGGGAACATGAGTATTGTTGCTTACAATATATGATTTATAATACTTAAATGTAACCGATAAACTGTGTTCTGGATGGCTTTCAAGTGTAAGTTATGAGAGAATTATGGGGTTTAATATATGTATTTCTGATGGAAACAGAATTTTCTTTCAAGTTTCCCCACCTTCAGCTTTCCTAAATACAAGTATTCCATGTATGTCACAGTTCACAATGTTCAGTGCCTTTGCTTAAAGAGGTGTTTCATGTGAAAGAAAGGTTATGACTTTCCAGGCACTGGTGAGAAACTTTCTCCAGATAAATAATTTGCAACCTAATCTCTTGTACTCCAGAGCTACAGAAGCTCTTATTCCGCTGTTATTTTTTTGGAAAGGGGGTGGGGGACCAAGTTTAATAGAACTTCACTCAAATCCAGCCCAAAGGATATGGGTGAAGTGATATTGAACTTACTCATGGAGCTGAGCCCTTCTCGAGAAGCTGCCAATTGTGCAGCCACTCAAGAATTTTCCAGCCTTTTGTAGAACCCAAATGTTCATTACTGTGTTCACAAGAGCCCTCCACTGGCCCTATCCTGAGCCAGATCAATCCA